CTTGGGGGTATGAGAGGAAATTGGGAGAGGGACGAGGGGGGGAAATAGCAAGATGGTGCTGGGAAGAGTGGAGGGAAAAAGCAAGGAGAGGAAAAGTAGTAGGAGAATGGGAAAGGGAGAGAAGGGAGTTTTATGAAGAAAAGGGGTGGAAGATAGAGGAGGTAGAGAGGATGAGAGAGGAGGGCGAAATGAGGGGAGAGGAGATAGTAAGAAGGGAGAAAAGGTGGCAAGAAGAGGAAAGATGGGGAAAGATAGAGAAGTCAAGATCAAATGTGTGGTACAGATGGATAAAAGGAAAAGGGATTCCGGGGTATTTGAAAAAAGGTTGGAAAGAAAAGAGATGGCAGAAGGTAGCGAGGTTTAGATTAGGAGAAGAGATAAGAAGCAATAGATATTGGGAAGAAGAGGAGAATAGGAAGTGCAGGGTATGTGGAAGGGAAGAGGAAACATGGGAACACATTTGGGAGGAATGTACGGATTGGGGAAGGGAGAAGGGTTGGAGAGATATGGTAGAGGAAGTTTTAGGAGAAGAGGGAGGAGGTGAGGAATGGATGAGGAAAATAGAGGAATGGAGAGGGATGGGAATAGTGGGGGAGGGGGAGGAGTGTGAGAAGAGTGAAAGTGAAGAAGGCGGCGGAAACGGAGGTCCCAGGTATGAATGAATGAATGGATGAAGGAATGACTGAGTGCGTTTCTCTCTCTCTCTCGCGAGCGTGCGAAAAAGCGGATAAATGTGTAAGCGGAGCGGAGGTCCGCAATGTACCCCGCAAGGGAATAAAGATATACATACATACACTTACACTTATCGGTGAAGAGAACTTTTAATTTTTCACACTTACACTTTTCGGTCGCAGCAAAATAAATACAATCTTTCTCCTTTCTAATTTTCTGCCTTATTAGAGAAAAATTAAATAAAGTGAAAGAAGATAATGGCCGCAACAGTGTTAACGTTGAAATACAATTGAGTCCCGATTATCTGAGTTAATGTGGATCAGGACCATCTCGGAAAATCTACTCGGAAAAACTGGAAAGAAAAAATAAAAAGTAATAAAACGCTGGACACTTATCTAACAATAAGCATGGACTGTGTTTAGAAACATCACTCGAATGCCTCTATGTATCATTTCACATTCGGTGAATAAGGATGAAATGATACGAAGGTGTTTCCGAATACAGCCCTGAGACGAAGTGCCTCGC